AAGAGTTAGTGATATAGTATAGAAAATGGAAAATATAAATATTTACCTTAAAAACTTTTGATATTCATGTAAGAGGTTCTAGAGATTATAAAAATGAAATGTGATACTGTATGATGAAAAATAGTATTTTTATAATTCTTATAAAAATCACTTTGCAGGTGAACTATTCAAATTGGGAGAGCAAAAAAATATATTAAATAAAAAAAAAATTTATTAGAAATAGTAGAAAAATGTAAATTAAATGTTTTATTTTTCTGAAACTACATACTTTTAGGAACATTCTTGTTAAATTTTATACAATTTCATCCACTAGTTTTATTTGTGGAATAAAATATGACAAGAATAAAATTTTATACTAAAAAAATTAGTAGCTGGAAGTCATTGGGATATAGCCATATCTCAGTAAATAGGAAAGACAGGAGTTTCTTATTTCATATTCTAGCTTTTCAGTATCAGTAATTTGAGTTTCTAGTCCGTAAGAAACTATAGTCTTTGTATTTGGATATGACAAACATATAATTTGAACCACAGTTGCATTCAACATGCCACGTGACACAAAAAAATTAATATTTAGGAATTTTAATATTTACTTTTAAATTATGAAATTAACTAATGTATAATATTAAAATCTGAGTTATAATCTACAATTTGATACCAAACTTATTTACATACATTCTTAAAATAGTATTTCAATACAATTTTAAATATAAGGCTATAAACATGATGACATGCCCTTTAACCCCTGACCATAGTATTACCAAGGTTAAGGTGGTTTCTTTGATTTTACTTTTACTAGTGTCTGGCTCTTAATGTTTTACTAGATATATATAAATATATGTGATTTTTTTGTACCAAAATTACAGAAAACATGGTAGGGATTTAAGTTCAAGAAATCAGTTTTACAATTTTCTTCTAGTTTCATCAATGTAGAATCACAGACAGTAATTATACATTATTTTATAAATGCTGATGGTATTGTGTTCTTCTACATAATTTTTTTTATTTAGTAAGGATTTTCGTTTAAAGCCAGGTTTTTGAATAAATTAGAAGCTGACAGAAATTCTTTGTTTAATGATAAGTTTTGTCTAAGTGTGAATTATAGTTGATATAATTTCAGAGGTAATTTGCAGTGTAATGTTGTGTTGTCAGTTAGTCTATTAGTATCAACCAAGATTTCAGATTTTTATTTTGGTGGTTGTATGATATTTTCTCAACAATAACTGGTGTAAATTTGATGGTATGAATGAAGGAATGCTTTAGAATGGTGATTTTTTTCATTAATATTATCCAATGAGCAGAATATTGAAGTTGTGTTTATGAGGTTTGTCAGTTTTTTATGTATGTGTGGGTAGGATTCTTTACAGTAGGCATCTGCAACTTGTTGCCAAAAAATTTCAACAACAAACGAACAGCACACAATCCACTTGTTTTAAAATAATATATTCAAAACAAGTCAAATGTATATACAAATGTTCCTTACACAGTTAATCACCACAGTCATACACAGAGCCTTAAATAATCGTCTCTTTTCATCAAAAGTTCACACAGGCTGGTTCAGTTACTTTAGAATCCAACCAACAAGACAAATTATTCTTCTCTACTCTGTTATCACAACACAATCAGTGATAAATTCACTTATATTACCCCATAAATTATCACAGTTGTATCCAGAGCTTTAAATAATTATATTTTATGTCAAAAATCCACATAGGCTGGTTCAGCTACTTTGGAACCCAATTGAAAAGATGTATTATTCTTCTCTGTTCTGTTATTACAATACAATCAGCAATTATTACACTTTAAAAATTGTTACTATACACTATACAAATACAGACTAGATCCATTTGACTATCTCTCTCTCTAACATTGTCTTACTTTCATTTTCACAAACTTGGTTGCCTATATATACATATTGCCCAACTGAGATCTAGAAATTTAAGCAATCAATGAGAAATCATGATGTAACAATACTCATTTAAAGAAATATGAAAAATTCTGAAGGTTCGAGTAATGTGACATTAATTCACAACAACTGATTCGTAAACACTTAAGTTGAATAAGAATAACTTACTTTAATTATTGCACAATGTAAACTAAATAACACTCTCATATTAAACTTAAAATGAATATTTTTGAATTTTGAGCTTAAGAAAGAATAACCATTTGTTATTTTCATGTTCAATAGTGAATCTAATGCTGAGTGAATGGAGTTAGATGTTTAAAGAAAGTTTGTATGTGTTCAACAGAAGTGAATACAGTGAAGGGTTATCAACATATTTATACTGGTATGGGTGAGGGGATTAAATGCAAATTTAATGGCTTGTGTTTTGACCTGTGTCATAAATCCACATAGATAAGTTAACTAGTAGTAGTATACATATCTTTCTTAAAGAAATACTTTGACAAACAGACCCCTGGCCACATGTAGTGTTACAAACAAGAGCAACAACAGAAGAACATATCAGATAAAAAATAATAAATACCATTAAAGATCTTTTACATTCTATGCACAAAAGAAATAAAAAGAAATTAATACTGTAGCAGTGATACAATTCAGAAAAAAAATTTGTTTCATTTCTATTATTTGTAGAGGTATTTTCAGATACAAAAAAAAAGCAAATTTGCTATTAGATTTGATAAGGTATTGAAAAGTCCATAGATAAAATTTTAACTGACAAAAACCAGTAAATTTTATCAAGGATGAATCATCATATATAAATGTTTTGTGAATGTTTAAAATATAAAGAAGTTATCTTTAATATGTAATAAATACATTTTTAACTTAATATTGTTAAGAGACAAAAGTTGTGTAATTATTGTACAGTATGATAATTTCATTACAGTGTAACTCTCGTTGCTTAAGTTGAAACATTCTCTTTTCATAGCATGTATAACAAGATTTTCATTGAACCTGAAGAGGCTAAGAATTAGCCTACAGCTAATACAACAGCATCAAGCAAAACAGGAACTGTTTCAAGGAAAATTTGTTTAATAAAAGCAAAAGAAAATTCATTGATGAATAATTTTTTCTAAATGAAATTGTACTATACGATATCTTGAACCAAGATTCATTAAAAAATAAATGTACGCACCAGTGTTTCATACGTTTTATGCTTAGTTTCATTTCAGTCTTTATACTCCTTTTCTTAGCAACATTACTTAATTACAAAGTGAAAGAGTTTAAATAATATCTTGAAATTTCACACATAAGATCTCCAGTTATCTAAAAAACACTTAGCCTGGCTACTAGATACAGATTGGTTAAACAAGTATTGTTCCTGTAATAACTTTTAGATCTGTCTGCAGTTATTCTACTTTTACACATGTATTCAAGTTGTCACATGTGTGTTAGATCTACAAGTTCTCTATGAAACACGCATATTATATCTGTAATTTGACTGTTAGATCTACAGTTTCTCTACAAAACACATTGTATTTGCCAAAATATAATGCACCCCGAAGTATAATGCACACCCAATTTTGAAAGGTTAACTTGAAGAAAATTTGTTGTTTTATACACATCAGTTGTACAAAATGTATTGAATACTTTCTAAATACAGTAAACTATCGATGTATTGAACATTTTTGGAAATCTTTCAATTAACTTTTTTTTTTCTTTATATGTCAATTTTGCAAAATTTATTGAAAAGTTTTATACATGGTAACAAACTAAGCTTATCATTGATTTTCACATGAATCTTTGGCATCACTAGAATTGGTGTTACCACTGGATTCATTGTATTCATCGATTTACTGCCTTGAATCTTTGCATCATTCTCTTCTGATTCCCACAGTATGTCATCATCTGTCCCATCCATTGCATTGGATATGCATAATTTTTTAAACTTTCAATGATGCTTTAATGATTTTTGGTTGTAGCTTCTAGTAAAATACCTAACAAGTTTGAATGTGTGCAAATATAATGCGTAGTCAATTTTTTTGGGAGGTGTTTGGAAGAAAAAAGTGGGCATTAAACAACATATGTCTCAATGTTATTTGACTGCACCAGCTCTTAACACAGATGTTAAGAATTGTCTTTCGACTGCTTCTGTGAGATTTGTTTCCATATATTTAATGTTAAAGAAATACTGCTGCAGATGTGTGCATTACAGATCACTTGAATCAACTAAAGTAGGGTCCCAAAGGAAAGTGTTAAGGACCCAGAGCAAATACTGTTAAGGTACTCAGTCAGAATGTAGAATATTTGGAAGGGGTGGGCTTCTACTGAGAAAGTTTGGGAATGCATGAGCAACAGTATTAGTTATCTGATTGTTCAAAACTAACAAACAAATATTTTGTGAACTTCTCTTACTCAGTTTTCAATGGGGATAATGAGAATGTACCAAAACCAATAGCTACAAAATAAAAATCAATAAAGGGATAATATCAATTATAAATAGATAAGCTTAAATTTACATTACATATTTCAGTTTAAAGATAAAATGCCAAAGCTCTGGGAAGCTACTATAAATTATAGTAAAGTTTAACAATTGTTTTGGTTCATATTCAATGTTCTAAATATAACATGAGTGTTAACTTAATAGCAATTGTGAGATTTCTCAAAATAATTTGTAGTGTTTGATGCTTTTAGTAGCACTGAGCTTCATAATTGTTTAGTCAAAAGTTTGTTACAGTCCTTCTTTGTCCTCAAAATTCCCAATTACAAGGGAAAGAAAGGAAACTGACAGTAAATTTGGAAATGCCATATGTACATTAGAATCATGAAAAAATGAGATTAATAGTTTTTACTATACCACTATACATTATAGTTGTCAATCGTAAAGAAATAACAGTACAAACAATTGATGTTTCAATATTTTCCTAATTAGATTGTTTTTGACATTGCAACACAGTTGTTTAATTCTTAGAAGTAATGGGTATAAACTAACTTTGTTGTAATATGTACAGGACAAACATGGGTTCATGTGAATATTGTAGCTCCTAAAAATTTAAATACTGGGAGATAAAAAACCCAAAGGACAGTCATTTTTTGTACTTACCTGAGGTATACCATTTCTTCTATTGATTTCAACAGTGCCATCATTTCTCATGCTTATAAAACACAAGTCTTCAATTGTGCAAATATGTCTTTTAGTCTACAAAAAAAACATCAACAATACTTTAAACAACATATTCCAGTTCATAAGTTGGCAGTTAATAAATCTCCAACATACTACAGAAGAATAAAAATATAAACTAATGTCCAAAATTATAAACAATCAACTTACTTAACTTTTTTGGTAAAATTTAAAATATCTGTATGTATCAAAGAAGCAAATTAAAAAACTAAAATGATCACTTCCTACCAGTTATTTAGTACAGAACCACAAATAATGAACAAATGAAGCTAATGTGTCATAGAAGTCTGAAAAACCATAGAAATGGTTAAGAATGTTGCAAAAAATATGTATTAAGCCTTTTTTTGACCAAATGACCTTCACAGGTCTTGATTGAAGTTGTTTGGACAAAATTTTCACTAATATCTCTTTTCCTTTACAACAAATTTAATAATTATTTTGTATTTTCAGATTTGATCGTGTTGTACCTGTATTCGTTTGTCGATTGTGTTACCATTTAGTTTATAGAGATGAAAATATCAAAAATTTACATTGCTGTGTCTACCAGTAAAGTATCCGAGACATACACTGTGCCTACAAAAGTTTTAAATGTAAATGAAAGTAAAATAACATTGCCTAAACAATTTATAGTACATAAAGATAGTGGCATAGAGAGTATGTTTCTATATTGCTCTAACAACTTCACCAGCCCTTATTTGTGTTTATTTTTCATAACTCCTAAAATAGAATTCCAATCTATCTTATTTTGTTGTGTGCACTTCTTAGCATAATGATGATTATAATAAGAAGTGCACACAACAAAGTAAGACAGACTTGAATTCAATTTTTGGAAATACAGAAAAGAATCACAAATAAGAGCTAGTGATGCTATTAGAGGAACATAGAAACATTTGTCAAATTGACTGAGCCTGTGTTGAGAGAGTTAACTCTCTTACTACAAGATCAGGCAATTCAACCTAAAAATTGACCCCAATTTAATAGCTGCATCATCAAATGGTGTACATGCAGGTGCAAGTCTTGGGGAGGGATTCTAGGGATTCCACACCCCCATTTTTTCAGGAATTAACAAATGCATTCTTTAACCATTTTGCTATAGGTCTTCCTATGGTCAGGAATCAAAGGTCATATTATTACATTTGTACTCTTACATTCAAAATTTTTTTGAACTATTCTTTTAGGAATGTATGTCAAAATTTGGTATCAAATTGTATATAATAATTCAAAATTTATTATAACACATTAGTTAATTTATTAATTTAAAAATAAATATTAAAAAAAAATCCTAAATATTGATTTTTGTGTATGTTGAATGCAATTGTGGCTCAAATTAGATTTTCATGATGTCCAAATACAAAGTCTATAGTTTCTTATGAATTAAAAACTCAAATTACCAATATTGACAAGCTATAAAATAAAAATAACAGCTTCTTATCTTTACTATTTGCAGAGATATCACTATATGATTTTTCTTCCAGTCTGGATTGACAAACAGTTGTCTTCACTCCCCCACCAAGTGGGCAAGGAGAATTCCACTTACCCATGAAATTATGGAGAGGATGTGGAATGCTGTCCCTCCAAGGACTAAAGATGGATCCGCATCGAGTTTGGGTTTACGAGTAAGTAGTTGACCTCCTGCATGAACAGCATAAGACCATAAGAGGGTCCAAGCACCCCCAACTGGATAGCTAAGTGTCAAATCTGGACTGGTTTTACGAGTAGGCTCACATGTAGGTTGGTCCTGCTCCTAACGACATCTGGGAAAAAACTTCCAGGGACCCAGATAGGAGGGTCCCCAACTTTGCCCTCTTCTCCAAGAGTGGAGAAAACTCAACATTCTGAAGGAAATTCCTCTGTCCACCACCCAAGCAACTGGGAACTGGGTGTGGTAAGGACTTCCGAGCTCCACTAGTAGAAGTAAGGGGGAACATAAGCATTGGGGAGTCCCGAGGAACAGGCCTCCAGAGACAGTGCAACAGGTCAACCACGATCCCTAATTTTTAAAAGCAAACTGATCTTGACTGATTCGGCTCTTAGATCAGCAGGGACTGGCAAAATCCCCTTTAACTTTACTCATGATAGTCCATGAGTAGCGATCCATTAGAAATATTATAATAAGATGTCACCATCCAAAATTGCATCCAGATGGATGCAACCATTGCAACCAGGAACCGATATAAAGGTTGCTAGTGTGGAATTTAAATACAAGCATACCAGACTGAGCAACACTATTTACAAAAAATTCTTAAACATATTTTTGTTAAAACATTGAACAGTAAATGAAGAAGTAAAGCAAACAATTACCTCTTCTTGTTATGACCACTTTGCACGTGGAGAATGTGAAATGAAATAATTTTTTTAGGTTTTATATATATATATATATATA